ATCCATTGTCCTGGCGTTTCAAGGGCATAAGGGTAATTTAAAATTTTGGTCTCGTGCTTTTTTCAGGTCTACCATTCCACAAATGGAAATCACAAAAAACAAGAAAAAAGCAAGGAAAAGACATAGGCAGGTTGTTTTTTTTTCACTAAAAGAAAGAAGAAAGGAGAAAAAAACCTGTCCTTTGGAAGTAGGCAGCCGTGAAGGGGGCCTGCCCAAGGAGGAGCTGTGACGAGCAGGGGCCACGGGACGGAGCCCAGGTGCCAGAGGGCTTGGCCAGCACCAGCCCCAGGCCCAGGCCCAGCACATCCCAAGGGACTTGGCTAAGGGCTTTGATGTCCACTCTTTGTGATTTCAGAAGAAAATCTGGAGAATCCTTTCAAGCGTGGCACACTTGGATGGGAGGAGATGAGCACTCTCCGGCCTGCCCGCTTTGAGGCAGACATTCAAGGAACTGGACTGGTAACAGCACCCAGCGTGCCACCCTGCGTGTCCTGCTGGGGAGGAGCCGCCCGCCTGTCCTTCCTTCCTGACAACAGCTGCTTCAGGCAGATGACAGATCAAGAGCTGACTCGGCAAGGCCCCTTCCAGGACCTAACAGTGGTAACCCTGCATCCCTCCCATGGTCCAGTGGGACAAGGGCAGGGCGCAGTTCTAATCTCTGAGGAGCAGCCAGAAAGGGGTGTATGTGACAGGACAGCTCCAGCTTCCTGCCCCTTGCTCCTCCCATACACGGGAGTCAGGGCCTTCCAAGGCAACAAGGAAAACAGGGAACACACAGGCCAGTTGGTATGAATGAACCCAAAAAGCACTCATGACTTTTAAATTACTTAGGAAGAGGCACAGTGTCGCCAAAAGCAAGTGAGCTTTGCATCTGACACCAGTGACACAGGCCATGAAGGGGCAGATGGCTGTGAGCAGCAAAGGCTTCTGCCTCAGGGGTCACCCCTGCCCTCCTGGCTGGTCTGACCCCTCTGCAGAGACTAACATCTCAGGTTCCTCCAATAAAGCTCGTTTGCATCATGGAAACCAAGATAAGATCTTTGCATGGAATGCTGACCAAGGTCAAGCTGAGAATTTCAAAAACTAAGAACTCCAGACAGTGGACAGCAGCCCAATGCCATGCTGTCACCAAAAGGAGGTGCTCCAAGCTCCTCAAGGACAGCTGTCAGGCAGCATGGCCCTAGACATGACACAAAACGTGGAGGTGGCCCTGCTCCCAGCCATCCCAGTCCTTTTCCTTCAACAAAAGCAAGCAGAGTATCCACAGCACATTCCAAAAGTACACCATACTCCACCAGAGAAAGTTCCAGAACACACCTGCATCCTGGGCAGAGAAGAAAAGGAAGGTCCTCTTGGAAGTAAGAAGACCAAGTCAGGAGATGGCAATCTTCATCCAGAAAGACTCAACTGGTCCCCAGAATGACATCCTAATGGGGGCTGCCCCAGGGTACCGCCCGAGCTGAGACAGGCCTGCTGTTCCAGATCCCCCCACCCCCCATTCTGACTGCTTTCTTCACCTCGGGTCAGCCCCCCGACTCCTCACACCATTTCAGGCATCAATCCTTCGTAACCTCTAACCCCAAGTCTCAAATACAAACACCTGGAGCCCCTACTCTAGCCTCCCCCTCAGCACGGCGTGGGGACAGGGCCTTGCTTCACCCATGGTGGGCACTCTGCAGCTCACGGGCCGGGCCTTGGGGACGAGGGGACAGCGCAGCCCAAGCCTGGTCTAACAGTGATCCTGCTTCCCAAGGAGCCCGGACTAGCATCAGGAGTGGCTCTCCGGTCTTCCCCACCCACCTGCCCCGCATCTTTCCCCTGGCCTCCAAGACACTGGGTCACCTTCTTCTCCTGGGGCCCCAGCCTGGCCTGCAGTTCCATGGCTGCTGTGCAGCCACCCTAGTCCCACTCCCACTCTCACCACCTACCACCCAAAGCCTCCTGCTTGTCAACACCTGGCAGCAGCAGGGCACAGAAAGGGGTGCACACACCAAATCCCACTGCTTAAGATGCAGGGGACAACCTGAAGCCAGCCTCAGAGCCAGGCCATGGATGGCATTTGACTCCCCACTACCCCCTGCAATAAACATTTGTTGGATGAAGAAAGGGGTGTGAGGGTGTAGAGACCCCCAGGGTCAAAAGCTTGGCTTTACAGCCTCATTCTCCAGGGAAAGTATCCACATGTGCGGACCACACATCCAAGGACAGGCAGGGAGAAAACTGGCTGGACGGGTCCTCCGCAGTCCCGGGTCCAGAGTGCGCAGCAGGCTGACCAGGGCCACAGAAACCTGGGCAGTCGGATGATGGAGCCAGAAGCATCTACTCCTCTCACAACTGAGAGCTCAGAGGCCAACTAGCTGGTTTATCTGTACATCTTCTGTAAATGAGGATTAGAAAAGTCTACATAAACTACAGGACAGGCAGGTAAGAGGTGGAGAGAATTCACAAAAAAGAGCTCACAAACGGAACACCACGAAACACACAGATCACACCAACAAAAAATCTACCAGATGACAGTTCGGTACTGTCATTCTCCAAACGGGCAAAGTTCATTCTCCAGCAGACGGCTCCACACCGGCCATGGCAGAGGGGGCAATGCTGTGACCACTGCCTAGAGTTGCCCAAACTGAGACGGCATACAAACTCAAAGTCACATCTCAGCACGCCAGACATCACTCAGAGAAAGC